AGAAGGCTTTATTTAAGGCAAAACATACACATTCAATGACAGGGGCGTGTGGTCAGCCTCAGAGGAGAGGCATGCTTAAAGGCTTAGGGCTCTGTCTTTGAAGGTTTTCAAGAATGGGGCAAAGGGTGAGGGCGGGGGGGTGGGGTATGTGGGCTTGACATGTGGTCTCATGATGTCTCTCTCTGGTGAGAGACATCATGTCACTATCCACAGTCAGTCCTCTAGATATTCTGTAAGATAAACTTAACACAGGGAATTTCTTAATCCTGTTCTTCTCCAAGGTAGTGGTTACCCTCAAGCAATGGGGACACATCATTTAGGACTACTTGCCCTGCCTTAAGATAGATGTTGACTGATTACCAAAGAATATGTTAGGAAACTTATCTCCTAACTCCCTGGTTTTTAAAATGAAATCTTAGCCCTAGGATAGAGTCCTTCCTGTTCTTACCCTACTGTTTATGTATCAGCATTTCTCATCATAGGAGGAAAGGTGAATCATGGTGCTTGTCCCATGTCCCTGCCCAGCCTCGAAGGAGCATGTCTTATTAGGACACACATGCCCGAGCAAGGAGACATGCCCCGTGGACACTGGGGAGCCTGTCACCTCAAGGAAGTCACTGAGAATCCGATAGTCCAAGGACAGTGGGACTAACCCCTCCAGATGAAGAAGCCATTGTATCATGAATACTTTGCCCCTAACAAATGAGAGGAAACCTCCATCAGAGCAAGATTCCTTCGACTGTTCGGTGCTCACGTGGGAGACACATATGTCGATGAATGAAATGAAACTTTCAGATGGACCCACAGTGTGTGATATTCATATAATAAGATATATATATATATATGTGGTCTTTGTCCCCAGTTCCTGGCCCAGGGACTCCTAAACCTGGTAATTTCTGGAGTGGGACAGGTGGGGGGCACCCTTCATTATTCATAAGACGCTTCCCCCTCTATCTGAGTTTATGCTCAGGAGGTAACTGCTGGTGGGCTCCCGGTTAGTTCTGGATGGGGGCTGGTTGCCCGAGGAACCAATCGCATGATTAGAGGGTTGGAACTTTCAGCCCCACTTCCTGATGTCTGGAGAGGAGAGGGAGACAGGGCTTGATCACCGAAGGCCAATGATTTACTCAACCTGTCTACCTAATGGAACTTCCCTAAAAACCCTAAACAATGGGGTTCAGGGAACTTCTGGGTTGGAAAATGCACTGAGGTGCTGGGAGGTGATATGCCTCCCCGGAAGCCCCACACCCACCCTCCAAACCATGCACATGTGTCTCTTCTATGTGGCTCTTCCCGAGTTGTAGCTTGCCGGAGTCCAGCTCCAGCGAGTCCAGGCATCCCTGAAGGATGGATGGACGGCATCGGCGCTTTTGAATGAGGGACAGAGACACTAGCAAGCTGGGCCTGGCCTTTAATGAAAAGTGGCAGTTTGATTATATACTAATTGACACATAGCATGGTTACATGAGTTTGGAGAATGAGATTACATCATTTGGCAGGTCTTAGCAGATAACTTGTTTCTAAGTAAGCTTGGTTTTTAGTTATTGCAATAAAAAATCTCACAAAGGTTAGGTAGGTGCCAAACTCTTGGTTTTTTTTACAGATGACTCTCTCTCATTCTTTCACAGCTATACTCCCATTCTTCATCTCTGGTAGGAAAGAAGGAGACTCTCTCTAAAAGAACACAATGACCTTTTGGCAGGCAGGGACAAATTTTACAGACTGTGCCCCGGACCCATTTTTAATAAGACTTACAATGGAGATTTTTTTTTCTGATCTGGAGTTAGGTAATGCCCTGTTCTCATTTGTCTTATAGTTTATCAGGCTGTTCTTTGGCTGGCTAACCACAGAATAGCATTTGTTCTCTGTACGCACCTGCTGCCATTAATCATTAAGTATGCTATTTGGAGGCCACGTAGGGGTGGGGGAAGGAACCTTGACCCAGGTAAATTTCCCATATCTTTTTCCTGTAAACTTGGGTTCAGTTCTCTTGGGGTCTCACTCTCCCATCATTGGGGGTAGTCACAGGGCAGTAGTGGTTTTTTCCAATTCCCTTTAGGGCCAGTACCTAAAATGTTCAGGGAGAATTAGATATGGCCTCTTCCCTGAAGGGGCAGTTTGAATTGAAACCAAAATAAGCAAATGTATTAGGAGGGGCATTTTGGGCAGGAGGGACATTGGGGTCGCTCCCCTGGGAAGGCCGCTGTGCAGCCCCTGCCCTCCGACTGCCCGGACTGTGTCATCAGGTGGCGGCTCGGACTGGCTCCCGACAGTAGCCTTTATAATAATTCAGTGCAAGTGTCTTCTTGAGGTTGCTCTAGCAAACTCTGAAACCCACGAGGGGGTCGTGGGAACCCCAGATTTATAGCCAGCTGGTCAGGGTGGCGATTGGCATCTGAAGTGGGGGTGGCCTTGTGGGATGGAGCCCTTGACACGTGGGCTCTGGCGACAACTCCAGCTCACTGACTGTACCCAGACTGAGAATTGAGTGGAGCCACTGGACACTCAGTTGGTGTCCAGAGAGCTGGAGAACTGGTCATTGGTGTGAAATAACCCCACACATTTGGCATCAGAAATGTCGGGAGTGAAAAGCAGCTCATAATCTGTGTCGAGGTGAAGCATCCTCCCAAAACCTCTATGGCAGAGAATGTTATCGAGCCATCGGCTAGATCAGATGGCTGCTCTGTGGCTTCCGTTAGCTCCCTTCCCCTCTGTCCCCACTCTAAGGGCCCAGGAACAAAGTTGTCGTGACGGGCTGTCTGCGGATTTGCCTCCCCAAAGCTTAGCCAGCTACGTCCCTGACGCAGGCCCACCTTGCTGGTAGCAGCCAGTAGTGCTGGGCCTGCAGGGTGGTATGGTTTCCCAGGGAGACCGGCCAAACAGCTGGTCCCCTGAGGGTTGCTTTGGACCCTGTCCGTCAGGGAGTGGGCAGTGAGTTTTTCCTCCCTGAAATAATTGAATCTGGGTTGCTGTTTGCTTTGCTTTTGCAACATCTGTGTGCCCTGAATGGCCCCATTCACTCGCCTGCTAGGCCACACAGTGCTGCTTCTCATGGAGAACCCAGCTTGTTAGGAAGTCAGTGGGCAGGCCCACCTACCCCACCACCCCGGTGCCGGCCTCCTGCAACAGAGGCACAGCCTGTTTGAGCCTGGGAGGCAGTGCCAGGCTGGAGACAGCACCTCTGGGGTCAGGATGGGTGAACACTGCAACCAGTGGCGCATACCTGAGGCCAGAATACCCAGCCCCTGGACCCAAAGGTGTGACTTCTCAGAATCACAGGGCATGACTCATTCTTTAAATGTTTGTTTCCCCTTCCTGCTCCTCCCCTAACTCTGCTGACTGCGGTGTTAGTGCCTAAAGGGGTCCCGCTGCCGCGAAGAGACCCTATAGTAGGTTGTGGAAGAGGAGACGCCCCTGGACCCTTTGGGGTCTCTCAGGAGGCCCACTACACAGTCAAGGCAAAGAGGGACCGATGTGGGCTCTGGAGAAGGGGGTAGGGATGCTGCCACACTGGGGGCCGAGGAGGCGTGAGGAAAGGCGCTGGGCGCGTCCCTGGAGAGCGCCCCGCTAACACGTGTGCCCACTCCGTGGGCGCGACAAGGAAGGTCCATACCTCCCCCCTAGGCGCACAGGCAGGCAGCCAGGCACCCCCGCTCCTCCCGCCCCTCTCCTGCCCCCGCTGCCGGCCCCTCCCACCCGCGCTGGGCACGCAGCCGGGGAGCCCAGGCTCCCGGACCCCCTCGGACCCCTCCCTCCGACTCGGGCTGCTGCCTCCCTAGGGCGGGTCTCAAAGCCTCCTCAACGGCCAGCCTGGAAGCCATCCAGAGGCGGCGGGGGCAGCGCTCGTTAGCTCAGCGTCAACGAGCATCCGCAGCCGCCACCAGGTCCCGCCCAGCGTCAGCCGCGAGCAGGCCTCGCCAGGAACCTCTGCAGAGCGCGGTGAGTGAGCTCGGCCAGCGAGGGGCCCAGGCGTCCTGCCCTCGCCGCGGCCCGGCATCCAGGCCCTCAGCCCCGGCTGGTCTCCTGGCTCGGCCCACCGGCGCCAGGACCCCAGAGTCGCCCCTAAAAACCGATCCCGCAGCCTCTCCCGGATCCGGGGCGCCGGCAGACCGGACCTTGGGCCCCTCCCTCTGTGCAGGATCCCCGAATCTGGCTCCCCCAGCCCCATCCTCATGGCGCTTCTGAGTCCCTCCCTCTATCCGGGAGCCAGGAACGGAGGCCAAAAATCTCTCTCCGCCCCAGACCTAGGAGCCTGGGCTTCAACTACGTCTGAGCAGACGAAGACCCAGGAATCTTGAGCTTTGAGAATCTGGGCCCCCAACTCCCACCGCCCTAGATCCCAGAAATTTTGCAGCAACCGCCCCTCAACCCCGCCCCTATCGACTGTGACTTCTGAGACCCAGAGTCCGGCCCCATAGTCCCTTGCACTACGAGTCCCAGTTTAAAGGAGGGCCAGGGGACCCAGATGTCGGGGACCTTGGCCCAGACGCCGCTTAAGGCCCAGGGATCCGCACGCTCAACGCTCCTTTGTTCAGGGACCCGGGGACAGAGACCCTGGCCCATAGACCCCATTAAACTGAGAGGCCCAGTCCCCCACCCGCTGAGACCCAGCTGTCCAGGATTGCGTCGGTGCTGGAAGAGAGGGGCTGGAGCAGCCGGGGAGGGAGGGGGCGGGAAGAGAGCCTGGGGTGGGGACCAGGGCGGGGGGCTCCGTCCTAAACAAACGCTAAACAGAAGGGTTGCCGTGGCCACGGCCTTCCCGGGCCTCCCCTGGAGACTTGTGCAGGGCCGCGTTGTGGAGGGCAGCCCGCAGGAGCCCCCACTCGCCAGCTCTTGTGTCTTCCTGTTTTGTCACCGCGGCAACAATGACCTCAGCCTTCTTCCCCCACCGCCCGCCGGCGGGATCCGCGGTCTGTTTCCCCGGGAGGGGCGTGGCCTCGTCTTGGTCCCGCCCGGGGGCGGGGCTGGGATAGCCCTGGCTGGGGAGTCCCAGCCCGGCCTGAGCCCTGGCCCCGCCCCCGCCCCGGCCCAGCCCGCGCCCGCTGCCCGGCCAGCCACCCCACCCAGTTCGCAAACGCTTCCAGTCGGCAGCAGTGGCCTCTGCATCGGCTGCAGCTGCCACAGCCCGGGGAGGTGAGGCTGCGGGGATCCCCGGGGAGGAAGCTGCGGTCCGGGATTCTTGGGTGCACAGGGAGGAAACCACTGCCTGAGTCCCTAGAAAGTCCGGAGGCTGGGCCAGGATTCGGGTTCTGGAGAGGAGTGGGACTCTTACAGGTCATACATCTGAAAGAGGAAGGGAATGCGGGCCTGGACTCCCAGGTCTGGGGGAGGGGGCTGGGGGCTGGGTTGCTGGGTCTGCGGGCACAGAGGGATGGGGGCTCCTAAGTCCTGGGGTGGAAGGGCTGGAATCTGGCAGGAGGAGGTACTTAGTGGGGGAGGGGCTTGGAGTTGGAAGCCTTGGTTTGGGAGAGTGGCTAGGGTTCAGAATTCTGACCTCCCCCTACATTCGGAGGACAGAATCCGAAGTTTGGACCCGAAGGGCCGAGGCTGTGCGCTCAAAGTGAGGACGAAGCTGGGAAGCCGGTGTCCTAAGGCCGAGAGGACAAGGCTGAGGCCAGCGTCTGGGTGTTGAGCGCAGAGGCTGGGGTTCAGGTCCGCGACACCGAGCCCGAGGGATGGGTGTGGTGTTTGGCGTAGAGGGGGCCGGGGCCGGGGCCGGGGCGTGGCCCGGGAGCCCGGAGCTGCACACAGAGGCTGTACTGAGCGGTGTTTCCTCTCCCCGCGCCCGTCTCTGGCGGTGCATTCCTGAGCGCCGACCTCAGGCTCCTGAGGCCCTAGAGGTGGAGATGGACCCCTCCTCTCCCGGTGGTCCCTGCGGCCCGCCCTCCTCCTCGGACCCTGCTGGGGACCCCCAGTGCACCGCTTTCTAGAGAGGCGTCTGGGCCAGGCCTGACTTCCTCCTAACGGGCTCTGGAGGGGCGTGGGGTAAACAGGAGGTTGCTGACTCCCATGTCGCAAGTCCCAGGTGAGCCGAGAGGCCCAGCCCCTGCGAGAGACCTGCCCTCCGGGAGGTGGTGACAGGTGTAGCTACTTATTTGTTTTTGGACTGGATTGCAGCAAGGTGGTTTCCGGCCTCGAGGTGGGTGTGGGTGTGGGGGCCTCGGCTGGGGGCCTAGCCAGGAGTCTTGGCCCGGAGTCCGGGTTCCCAGCCCCTCCTCTCTTAGAGATCCTCTTGGGGCCCAGGCTCCAGCCCAGCCCACCCTCTAGGCATCCAGGCCTCCCATGTTGAAGGCCCCAGAAATTCGGGCTTCAGGCCCCTCCTCCCAGGACCTGGAGCCCATCTCCCCGCACCCCACCACCCCGAAATCCTCGAGCGGGGCAGGCCATCCCGAGGCCGGCACGGGGCGGAGGGTCCTGGCACCGCCTCCCGGCCCCCGCCACATTCCAGATGGCTGGGCTGACTTGAAGCCCTTATAAGGCACGGAGACCGGAGGGCGCCCGCCCGCCCCTGCAGCCACCGCCCAGGCCCTCCAGCCTTCTGCCCGCGGCTTTCCCGGGCCTGGCAAGGTGAAGATCACACAGGCCCACGCCGGCCCGCCGGCCGCGCCCTTTTCGCCTGTTACGTCCATTCCCGCCCCCGCAGTTTGGGGACCCGGGAGGAAGGAGCGGGCGGGGCTGCCCTGGGTCACCTCCGGGCCCCACGGAGCTCGCAGCCGAGATCCCGCCCCGGTAGGCCGGGCGCTGCGGGGCTGCAGGGCTGCGCCGTGCGTTTGGGGCCGGGGTGGGCGAGCCCTCTGCGGCGGATGGGCTGGCTGGTGCCTGGTGCCTGGGTCCCGGGAGGGCGGGGCCCGGGCTGAGCCGGACGCTGGCTTACCCTCCCTCCTGTGCTCTGACTAGCCTTTTCCAGGTGTCTGACTTAACGCGCCTCCAGACCCGGATCTTTCGCCTTCTGGGTCCTCAGCTAAGACCGTCGGTGAGTGGGCAGGGCGCCCGGACTCTTGGGTCTGGGGGAGAGGGGGTAGGGGGCCCGGACTGCTACATCCAGAGAGGAGGAGGGCCTGGGAGCTCGGGTTCCAAGGGGAAAGGCCCAGACACCTGCGTGTCTGAGGGAGCACGGGCCCCGCGTGCTCAGGGCCTGTTGCAGGGACGCTGGGCCCCGAGTGGACTAGGCCCGTTCTGCTGCTGTTCTGCTGCTGCCCGTGCGCCTGACTCTGGTAGGAGGAAGTATTATTTCCCTGCTGCTAAAGGAGGCCCTCTGAGCTTTTCAGGGGTGGAGCCTGAGAGTAGGTATTTCAAGGCCTGGGGGAGGATGTGGATACCTGGTCCCCAGGACACTGGGCACCCCATTCCTGAGGGTCTTCAGGACACAGAGGTAGAAGCTGTGGGTCCTGGAGGCAGGGAAGAGAGCAGCTGAATTCCCGGACAGGTGTCTGGTGTGCTCCAGCCTGAGGGCCCACAGTCCCAGTCTGAAGCTGTGTAACTGGACCCAGAGGCCGAGAGCTCTTTGGGAGGGGCTGGGGCCCTGGACGACTGAGGCTGGGGAGCTGAGTTTCCCAGAAGGTTCTTGAGTGGGGCCCCTTGTGGAGGGAGATGATGGGCGGGAGGCAGCTGGGTCTCCACATCGCAGGTGCACACGGGGCTGAGGGCCTGGGCTGCTGATCCCTGACAGGGTGGGAGGGGTGGAAAGAGTGGAGGCCCGGGAGGGGCAGCTGGCCGTGCGGAAGGTGGGAAGCCCTGGTCAGGGGTGGCGGCAGCCTTGGCTCCCAGAGGCTGGACTCTAGGTTTGGGGGCTGGAAATACCCCTAAGGTGCAAGAAGGAAGTTGGACCTAGGAGCTGGATGGGTGCAGAGCTCTGGGCACCCAAAGGCGGGAAGTGTTCAGAGGCGTATTGAAGCTCAGAGACAGGGCCTCCTGTTGCCATGGGTGATGGCAGATGCCTTAGAACCCTGCTAGATGACTGGGTTGCTGAGTCCCTGCTGGAATGGCAGCTTTGAGCGTCCAGAGTGGGGAGATGTGTGGTTTTACAGTAGTTGGGCTGCAGAGAGGAAAGGAGTGTTGGGGGAAGAAGAGACACAGGGGCCCAGACTCCTGGGCTCTGACACAGGAGGAGGGAGCCAGGACCTGGGCAACACAGTCAGAAAACCGAGAGCCCCAGTCCTGGGTGCTCCCCAGCTAGAGTCCACATTACTTTGTCCCCAGAGCAGGCAAGGGCTGGGGGCCTGGATTCTCCCTTTTCTGGAACCTTCTTAGGACACTTTTTCCCCCTCCCCCTAGCCATGCCGGTGACGGTGACCCGCACCATCACGACCACCACGACGACGTCCTCGGGCCTGGGCTCCCCGACCATTGTGGGGTCCCCTCGGGCCTTCATCCAGCCCCTTGGCCTCCTCCGCCTGCTGCAGCTGCTGTCCACCTGTGTGGCCTTCTCGCTGGTGGCCAGCGTGGGTGCTTGGCAGGGGCCCATGGGCAACTGGTCCATGTTCACCTGGTGCTTCTGCTTCTCTGTGACCCTCATCATCCTCATAGTGGAGCTATGTGGGCTCCAAGCCCGCTTCCCCCTGTCCTGGCGCAACTTCCCCATCACCTTCGCCTGCTATGCTGCCCTCTTCTGCCTCTCGTCCTCCATCATCTACCCCACCACCTACGTCCAGTTTCTGTCTCACGGCCGCTCCCGGGACCACGCCATCGCCGCCACCGCCTTCTCCTGCATCGCTTGCGTGGCTTATGCCACCGAAGTGGCCTGGACCCGGGCCCGGCCCGGCGAGATCACTGGCTACATGGCCACCGTGCCAGGCCTGCTCAAGGTGCTGGAGACCTTTGTGGCCTGTGTCATCTTCGCCTTCATCAGCAGCCCCCACCTGTACCAGCACCAGCCAGCCCTGGAGTGGTGCGTGGCCGTGTACTCCATCTGCTTCATCCTGGCTGCAGTGGCCATCCTGCTGAACCTGGGCGACTGCACCAACCTGCTGCCCATCCCCTTCCCCAGCTTCCTGTCGGGGCTGGCCCTGCTCTCTGTCCTCCTCTACGCCACTGCGCTCGTCATCTGGCCGCTCTACCAGTTCGATGAGAAGTATCACGGCCAGCCCCGGAGGTCGAGGGATGTCACCTGCAGCCATAAGCACAACTACTATGTGTGCGACTGGGACCGCCGACTGGCCGTGGCCATCCTCACGGCCATCAACCTGCTGGCCTACGTGGCCGACCTGGTGTACTCGGCCCGTCTGGTTTTCGTCCGGGTCTGAGGCCCAGCCGGGGGTCTCCCGATCCCCTCTTCTCTCCAGTTTCTCTACTGAGTTCGGACTTCCTCTTCCGGGTGCCTCCTCTCCATCCTTCCATCTCTGTCCCCATTCTTGGGCTCTCATTTCTGTTCCTCTCCTCTCCCCTCCCGTTGCTCTGGCTCCTCTTCCCAGTTTGTTTGGTTGCCCCCACCCTCTCTTCTGGTCCTCTCATCTGTGTTCCGTCTGCTTGGTCCCTGACCGCCTCCTCCCGTTTCCTTGGGAGCCCTAAGACTTCTTTCTTCTCTGCCCCCACCTCACCGGCCCCCACCTCCAAAGGTGCTGAGCTCCACAAACCACACCCGTCTTTGCAGCTGTTCATTCCCTGGGCCTCCCGAGGGGCCTCATTGCCAAAGCATGCTTCCCACCCTGCCTGTGCCTTAGTGTGTGTGTGTGTGTGGGAGGGTGTGTTGGGGGTGGGTGGGGAGGGGTAGCTAAGGATGGGGCCCCTTTCTCCCAGTGGAGGGGGTGTGTACAGTGCACCTTTAAGTTAGAAAAATACCTCCGGAGGTCAGTCATTTCCAGTGGGCCAGAGGCCTAAAGCAGACTCTAGGCCTAGACCCCACCTGGCACTCAGCCTCATCCGACATAAGCTCCAGATTTTTTGCCAGGCTTACTGAAAACACACCACCTAGAGCAAACGGTGGATGCCTTCCATCCCAACTACTCTCAGAGGGTATCAAAAAAGGGACTGGTGAAAACCACATGCTCTTGAAGACAGCTGTTTCAAGTATTTGGGAGGGGCAGGGCATGGCCCTGTAGCCTCAGTGTTAGAAAGAGTGCAGCCCGCCTTTACTGGGAGGAGAAAATAGCCACTGTCAGCCCTAGAGGCAGTTTTTTTCGTTTTCCTGGTCCTCAGGGCCCAACTTGCTGGGTGGCCCTGTTCTTAAAGGGGAAGCTTCTTTGGGGGAAGGGGGGTGCTGCCCACCATAGAGGACTTGCATCGCTTGAGTGTGTGATGTACACGTGTGTTGCTGTGTGCTAGCTTCCTGCAGCTGCTTCCTGCTTCTCTGGGACTCACGCATAATGTGATATATGTAAGTGTATAAATATATATATATATTTTTTAATTCCCCGAAGCTTCTGGTTTCCTCAGCTCCTGCTGTCAATCACAGAGGGAAGCCTTGTCCCATCTCCCACCCCCATATCCATAATGTTCATTTTTTTTTTTTTTACCTCAATATAAAGATAAACGAAAGGCTTGTGCTTGCTTTATTACTGGGGAGGGCTCCAGGCAAGAGGGCAAGGCCCAGACTCCTGGGTCTGGTGGGAGAAGGGGCTTTGGGCCAAGAGAATTTCGGCCTCGTCAGAGAATACTGGCTGAGTCTGGATCCTCCGAATTTCCCCCTCAAACCGGGGAGCTGGTGAGGACAGAAATGAAATGAAGACTTCTCACTCCTTGGAGTCCATGAGCACCTCGGGAACAACGTCCACATCTGGGTACAGCATCTTTACTCTAAAATCAACTCTTCCCAGTTCTCCATCTCAAAACAGCCTCTCAGGACCTAGAAGCCAGGCACTGGTTCTTACTGGCTTCTCTGCCAGTCACTCATCAAACACTGTATTTTTCCTCCTAAATACTATTTTGTATCTGTCCCCCCACCCAGGAAGGGTCCCCTTCTCCAGGTTCCATTTTGCTCCGGTTTCATTATTTCCCCTGAGCTATTGCCCCAGCTGCCTCTACCCTGCCTCCTCGCCCATCTTACCTCCATAACCCATCCATGTTTCCAACATCCAGGTCTGACACTATCCTCCTCTGCTCAAATCTTGACATGTCCAACTATATCTTTCCTGCAGGTAATGCCCAAAGCCTGAGCCTGGCATTGGAGGCCTTTGGGCTCTGACCTTGCCCACATTCCCCCCGCCCCCTCTGCTCCATCTTACCACCCCTGACACCTGAACAACAGAGGACCTTGATAAAGGTTAAATGAATTATTCCTACAGTGAACCTCTATTCTACAGAAGGACATCTAGCCCGTTTCTCAGCCTGAGGAAAATCACAAAAATACATACACATCCGGGAAAATTCCAGGATCATGCAACCCATTTTCTGCACCTACACCCGGCAAAGGCGATTGGGAAGAGATACTGTAGTGGGAGAAGTGCCTGGCCGGAAGACTGGCATGGGCTGACTAGAACCGACGCGCCCCTTTTTGACGAAGAAAAGCCTCTCTTGATTTCTGCAGTGCCCACCCCAGAATCCTGACCGACACCACCCCCTGCCTCAAAGGGCTTCTGCCCCTTTCCCTTCCCCCACCCCAGGCTTGGACCCCTTCTGGAAGGCGGCGCAGAGAACAGCTCCAAAACCCAGGGGTGATACGTTGGCCACTCGGGGAAGAGCTCGAGCACAGCCGGCACAGAGCGCGGTACTCCTCTGTGCATTTTGGGGGCCGCCCCAGTCCCCTGGCTCTGCCCTGAGGCCCGGCGGACGCCTGAAGATTGCTGGGATGCCAGAGGTCCCCATCTTTGGGGGGGTTAGGAGGCAGTTGGATTGTCTCAACTCCCTTGGACTTCGGGAAGGCAGACCCCGACCCCAGAGTTCGCTGCGCGAGCAGGACGCCCCAGCCCCCGCGGCGGCGCCCGCCAGGAGAGGAAGATCTGTGTCGCGAGAACAGGCAGCCCGCGTGCTCGAACTACAAGTCCCAGAATGCATTACGCCGTACGCCCCGGGCAGGCGTGGGTGCCTTTGGCAACAGAATGGGACCCTGGCGCTCCCCGGAGCCGCGGGAGGGACGGAGCGCGACCCCAGGAAGGCCGAGACTCGGAGGCAGGAGGAGAGACCCTCTAAGCCCCGGACTGCAAAGCAGATATGCTAGAGCCAGGAAGGGACAGTAATCAGACGTGGAGGGAAGGAGGGAGGACCCCAGAGATGAATAGAGGGTCACAGAGCCAGGGAGACAAACGGAGAGAGAGTGAGAAAGGGAAAAAGATGGGGGCTGGGGGACAGATGATAGGTTCACTCAAACATCCAGAGAGAGACTGGCAGAGCCAGGCAGTGGGGTCAGAGAGCGATGGGCACAGAGCAATAGGAAGAGGAACAGCAAGCACAGGGGGAGATGCGCAGAGACAGACACGGGCGGAGAAGGGCAGGTGGCCAGGATTTAGGGCGAGACCCCGGGGGCAGGGAGAGGGAGTCGCGGGGCTGCAGGGACGAAGAGAGGCAGCGAGAGGGAGAGACTCAGGGAGGCCGCGCAGCTGATGAGGCACATCCAGGGACAGACAGACGGAGACCGACTCACAGCGAGACAGACATCCAGGGACGGAGGGTCGCGGGACGAGGGACAGACAGATGGACAACACAGCGAAGAGTACATGAAGAAAACTGAAATGGGGATTTTCAGAGACAAGGACAAGAGCACAGATCCACGCAGAGACCGAAACAGACGAGAGAGGGAGAGCCGGGAATCCAGGAGAGGAGCGTAGACGGAGAGCGGGAGACGCTCCCGCAGGGGGGCACAGACCCACACTCCCGGACGCCCGGGAGACCCCGACGCGGACGGCATCCGGGGAGGAGCCGCCAAGCCGCCCTGCTTGCCGCGGGGCCCCCCACGGAATAGAGCTTGTGGAGCCAAGCAGAGGGGCAGTCAGAGTCCCAGAGATCCGAGCCAAGTCCCCGGGGGCTCACGGGGCCCGGAGGCTCCCCAGGAGGACAGGCGGAGGCGGGGAGGACGCCCGCCTCAGGCGGCCGGCGGAGCGGGCGTGCGCACGTGTGTCGGAGAGGGCGCTGGTCCAGAGACTCCACCCGGGGGGCGCCTTTAAGCCTAAACCCCGCCCCTCGGTCGTCATGGCAACGCCTCCCCCAACCCGCGCTCCTGCATTTCAGCAGGTGCCTGAGCCGGAGCTCCCGCGGCCGCCGCCCGTGCCTCCGGCTCCGCGGCGCCCCTGCCCCGGGCTCTGCGCCCCACCTGCCGCTCCCCCTGGCGGAGCTCAGCGGGCGCGCCCCGGGGTGCAACTACTGCCCCGCGCCCTGCTCCCGGAGGAGCCTCGCCCCTCTCCTTGCCGCCTCGGAACCTCTCCCGGGCTGTCGGCTCTCCGAGTCTCCGGCCCCTCGCCCTTCCACCTGTTTCCCCGAAAGGCAGGAGCCTGGTTCCTGCTGCGTTTCTGGGGCCATGGCTGGCCTGGGCCCCGGTGGAGGCGATTCAGAAGGGGGACCCCGACCCCTGTTTTGCAGAAAGGGGGCTCTGAGGCAGAAGGTGGTCCACGAAGTCAAGAGCCACAAGTTCACCGCCCGCTTCTTCAAGCAGCCTACCTTCTGCAGCCACTGCACCGACTTCATCTGGTGAGGGAAGGAGCCGGGGATATGCGTGGGCTGGGGGGGACTGGGGCAGAGACCCCTGTGCCACCAGACCTCTGGGTAATAAGGAAAGAGGGGGCTGAGGGAGGAGGGCTGGGGACCCCGGCTCCTGGATCTGAGGGAGGAGGGCTGGGGACCAGCGTTTCTGGGTTCTAGAAAGAAGAGGCAGCTGGGTCTCAGACTCCTGGGTCTTGCCGGAGGGGGGCGGGAGGCATGCAGGCCTCCTATGGCTGGCAGAGGTGAGGGGTCCAGGGACCCTTTTCTGCACTGACCTCAGATCCCTGATCTTGCAGGGGGATTGGAAAACAGGGCCTGCAATGTCAAGGTAAGGGCTGAGGACCTGGATTCCTGGGACCCTCAGGAGGGTGAAGGGGGCCCCACAGCCAGGCTGCTTGACACACGTGTTCTCTGGTCCCCAGAGAGGCGCGGGGGAGCCTGGGGTGGGGGGTGTGGCAGAGCCACAGCCTGCAGTGGGGTGGGGAGAAAGCTCTGACGGCGGGGCCACCGCGGAGGTGGTACTGGGGCCCCTCCTTCAGTCGGCTCCAGGTGGGGACAGATATTTGGAGAATCTGTTGCCATGGGAACAGGAAGATTTGGAAAAGGGGAGCTTAAGGGGGGGCCGGAGATGCAAAAGTCAGAGCCCCCCACCAGGCGGCTGTTGCCATGACAACAACAACCGTCCTAGGCAGGGGCAGGCCGGGTGGGGTCACTGATGGGTGGGTGGGGGCCGGGCGAGGCGGCTATTATGGGGGGGCGGCAGAGGGGGCAGAGTCCCAAAGCACCAGCTGCTACTGCTGAGAACAGAGTGAGTCAGGGAGGGGGGCGGCTGCAGCGCCCCCAGACTCACTTCTGCCCAACTTGTCCTCTCTGTCAGAGACATTCTGTTTCTCTCTTCACCGCCATCTACGTCTCTCCTTCCCGCTTTGGTATGTCTTGTCTGTAGACTCATGTGTCAGTGGGACCCTCTTTTCTATGTGTCTGTCTCCCTGTGGCTGTGTGTATGCACTGGGGTCTCTGTGCTTCTCTGTCTCTGTTTCCGTCTCTGGGTCCATCTCTTGAATGTCTGTCTCCTGGTCTGTCTGCCTGCCTCTCTTTCCCCATGTCAAGGTCTCAGACTCTAGATCCGCGTGGCTCTCCGGTTTTCATTGTTGGGGTCTCTCCCTCTTGCTTTTTCTTTCTGACTCTGTGTCCACTGGGCTCTCTCTCTGTTTCTGCCTCTATGATTCTCACCTTCAGTCTGCAGTTTTGTGGTTCATCGACGATGCCACGAGTTTGTGACCTTCGAGTGTCCAGGTGCTGGGAAAGGTCCCCAGACAGACGTGAGTGCCCAGACACCTGGTTCTTCCTCCTCGGGCCGCGCCCCCGCCCTCACCCCCTCGGCGTCCGTCCCAATTTCTCCTGCTATTTTTAAGGCTGGGAGGGGAGGGGGGCTGGAGAGATAGGGGGAGCTAGTCTGGCCCAGATTCCCTGCCCTTGGCCTGGAAAGGGGGAATGAGAGGGGACGGAGACAGGCTGAGGACACAGGTGGGGGACCAAAGGCCGGCACTGGAGGGCCTGGGCTGTCATTCAGAGGTCAAGAGATTTTAAAAACAGATAGCTGACGGAGAGACAGGAAGAGAGAGACAGAAAGAAATATTAATGTGGGCACTGAGATTCCAAGATAAGACAGAGAATCTCAGAAATCCATACAAGATAGATACCCAGAGAGACATAGAGACAGTGACAGAGGAGGAAGGAAAAGGGGACCTGGAGAGACTGAGAGAGACACACAGAGATGGAGAAACTCGAGAGAGACAGAGGTTCAGATGCCCAGAGAGAAAGACTAAATAGAAAATGGTGGATATGCAGAATGGTTTAGGAAGTGTTGATGGAGGGAGGCCCAGAGAGACCCTACAGTATACACGCATGCACACACACGTCCATATAGAGCCCCATGCACACACATATGCATATACAGATCCCCATGTGTGTACACATGTGCATATACATTCCTATGTGCACACACATATAGATTCCCAGATCACCCATGTGCACACACAGATATAACCTTCCTCTCCTTCCCTCCCTCCACGTCAGAGGCTTACAAGAACAGTCAACTCTGCATGCCCATCCCGGAGTCCTCCTTCACTTTCTGACTGGCCCCAGGGCTCTTCTCTCTGAGCCTCAGTTTTCCCCTCTACAAAATGGGACTGACCATCTAATGCTGACCAAAAGCAAGAACTCCCAACCCAAGTAAAATTCAAAAGTAGAATCCCCAACTGAAGTGCAAGATGAATAAAAGTCCAAGAACGTCCTGAATTTTCCTAAGACAACTCTTGCAATGCATTCTTAGAAAAAGGCAAACACCAGATTATTTCACACTCAGACGTTGCCAGGAGTGAAGAAGGAATCCTTTTCCTAATGGTAAATTCATGCTTCATTGCCCTCTGGACATTTAGCATTATCTCAAGATACAGATCATCTCCAATGGACAGAGGAGGGCGCTGAGGCTCAAAACTGCGCATGAGCTCACCCAAAGTCACACTGGGAAATGGCCTAGCTCTTATTTAAACCCTGGGCTGTGTGATGACTGCAATAAAATCTCTAATCGTGTCCACAGCAGTAAAAGTAGCAGTACCGAGCACATCTAACAGGCAGGCCCTGCTCTCTGCTTTACACTTAATCTTTCATTTAGGATTCCTGGGGCCCTTAACTGAGAGGCCGTATTCTGTATCCCACAAAGGACTCAGAGAAAGATCATCAGCAGGCAGACATTGACAGAGGCTGACAGCAAAGGATCTGGGGTTCCTGGTGGCCAGCTTACGGGAGGGGGAAAGGCTGTAGGGACTTTGGGATATTGGGAGCCCCCTCTTTCAGGTTCTTCCAAATGCCACCTTGTTCTGAAGCCTTTCTGAGCATTGTTGCAAATTTCAACTCTGTACCCCTACCAGCCCTCACAGGGCCCTTGCTTGCTTCATTTTTCTCCAGAGCGCCTATTACCATCCACCATATTTATTTACCGTGTCTATCTTCTGTTTCCCTCCACTGGAAAGTAAAGTCCATGTGGGCAGTTTTATTTGTTTTGTTGATGGCTGGTCCCGGCGCCAAAAGCAGTGCCTGGCACACAGTAGGCGCGGTGCCCCTCCCTGCCCCTCCGAACCGCTCCTCTCCGCCCCAGGACCCCCGGAACAAGCACAAGTTCCGCCTGCACAGCTACAGCAGCCCCACCTTCTGCGACCACTGCGGCTCCCTCCTTTACGGGCTGGTGCACCAGGGCATGAAGTGCTCCTGTGAGTCCCCTGGAGCGCGGGGGCCCCTCCAAAAGCGCTGCTCCTGGGTTTCGGGTAATGCTGGGGGGGGCAGGGCGGGGCCGGAAGTGCTACCCCCAGTTTTGCGCCCCTAGGCTGCGAGATGAACGTGCACCGGCGCTGTGTGCGCAGCGTGCCCTCTCTGTGTGGCGTGGACCACACCGAGCGCCGCGGGCGCTTGCAGCTGGAAATCCGGGCGCCCACCGTGGACGAGATTCACGTTACGGGTGAGGCCCGCCCCTCGTCCGGCCGCCCTTTATCGAGGGGGGATGGGCCGATTGGATTCACCTGCGCGGCCCACCGCTCAACCGGGAAGGCCCCGCCCCCGCCCGGCCTCGCCCCGCCCCTTCCAGCTCGAAGCCGGGTCTCCAGCCGGGCCTGTGGCAAAGGTCAGGCCCTTCGTGGGCTTCCTGGGCAGCAAAGCCCCTGGGAGGGCGGGGTGAGAAAGACCTGGTTCCGAGGGAGGTCGGGTCACGGCTGCGACCAGACCAGGGCCCTCGCTCCCGGGCCCAAACGGAGGGAAGGGGTTTTGTTTCCGACTTCTGCGTCACTGCCTGGGAAGGGCTTACGGCCCCTTCTGGGTGCTGGAGAGGTAAGCGGCCAGGAGGAGGGCGGCCCGGAGCTGGGAGTTCTTGACTGCTACCCGGGTAAGCAGCGGGCGCATCTTCCCGCATCTCTAACCCAATCTGCCCTTCTTCACCTCCCCCCGCAGTTGGCGAGGCCCGTAACCTCATTCCAATGGACCCCAATGGTCTGTCTGATCCCTATGTGAAACTGAAGCTCATCCCAGACCCTCGGAACCTGACCAAACAGAAGACCCGGACAGTGAAAGCCACGCTAAACCCTGTGTGGAATGAGACCTTTGTGTTGTGAGCCTCGGGTGCAGGGGAGGCTGTGATGGCTGACAGAGAATGATCTGAGGGTCCTGGTGGCCCACAAGACCCCAGAGAGCAGCTGGTGGGAGGTGGTAGGATAGAGGAAGCACAAAAAAGGGTAGAAAAAAGTGTTGGGAGAAAGGAATGGGGTGATAGGGGAGAGAGGAGTTACAGAAGCTGAGAGACAGACGTGTGTATTTATCTCCATCAAAGCCCACCGATTTAGAGTGAGACAAAAATGGTGGGGGTGGAGGGGTGGCGGTGCGCTCAGGCGGAGAGGCACAAATCCGAAAAGCGACACAGAATGGGGAGATTGGGCAGACAGGCGGTGGTGGTGGCGGGTGGGGTGGGTGGCAGGAAGAGAAAGGAAGCCAACTACCAGAAAAAAGGGCATGAGCCTTGCAGAGAGGAGAGGGACTCAGGGACCTCGGGAGGGAACCGCTGGGGAAGGGTAGGGAGGCCTGGGAGTGGGAGGAAGGGAGAGGGGCCGCAGCCGAGCCGGCCAGGTTCACTGCGGCCCCTGCCGGGAGGGACACTACCCTGAGGAAGACGCTTTAGAGAGCTCCCCCCCTCCACCAAGGATGCGGGCTGGGGGGAGCCGGGGCGACCCCTCAGCCTGCCCCCCCTCCCGCAGCACCCTGAAGCCCGGGGACGTGGAGCGCCGGCTCAGCGTGGAGGTGTGGGACTGGGACCGGACATCCCGCAATGACTTCATGGGGGCCATGTCCTTCGGGGTCTCGGAGCTGCTCAAGGCGCCTGTGGACGGCTGGTGAGGGGAGGGCCGGGCCAGGCCTTGGCGTCTCAGCCCCCCTCTGTGCGGTCCGCCTCCTCTGGGCCGCTGTTCCCCACGCCCCGTCTCCTCCTTCCCCCTTCTCCCTGTCTCCTTAGCTCACTCTTTCTCTCTGCATCTCTGTGTCTGTCTTTCTGTGTCTCTGTCCCCCCTGATGTCTCTGCCTCTCCACTGGGTGCCTCCCCATCTCTCTCACAAATGCTCCGCCCTGGTCTCTGTCTGTCTGCACGGTCAGGTTCAAGTTACTGAACCAGGAGGAGGGTGAATATTACAATGTGCCAGTGGCTGATGCTGACAACTGCAGTCTCCTCCAAAAGTTTGAGGTACCCAGACCCCAGCTTCCCCAAGGGCAGCCCAGCTCAGCCTCCCATGTTCAGAGCTGGCCCTGTCCTCCGCCCGCTTGCTGCCCACTAGTTATGGTTCTGTAATTCCCAGAAGACCCTGGGCTCCATCCCCTGCTTTCCTAGGGGACTCCTGCCCAGGGTCTGATGGGAACTAGAGGGGTTTGGGGTCCCAGACCCCTGTTCTAGAGCAGCCTCTTACTTCTCTGTGGGCTGTGACTCTGCTCTCTTCTCCCCCAGGCCTGTAACTACCCCCTGGAACTGTATGAGGTGAGTAGAGCTCTGGCGTGGAATGGAGCAGGCGCCACCCCTCGTGTCCCTCTCCTGCCACCACCCTCCTCTGCCCTTTGCCTCCATTTCCTCACACATTGGCTGAGCACATACTAGGCAGCAGGTCTCATGCTCTCTGAGTAATCCTAGCACCCCCAGGTGAATCTGAGCCTCTAGCAGCTCCCCAAGGTAGGGACGGTCACAGATGCTTAAATTCCAGGATGACATGCTAAGTGAGAGAAGCAGAGGCGGTGCTTCCCCAGCCCGGGGGAAGGGCCCTTCCCTGAGGAGGTGGCGCCTTAAGCTATCCTTGACTTTCTCTGTCTAGGTTTGCTTGCGGCCTTTCTCGCCTCCACTCATTTCTCACTCACTGAACACCTATTTCCTGAGGTGTCACCTAAGCCAAGCCCTGTTCAGGGAGTAGAATCAGGCCCTTCCCTGCGGAGCTCTTTCAATGTAGGAGAAAGTTAAGGAGAGAAATGAAAGGAATGTGTCTGATAACCTAGATGGCCTTAGGCACTGGGAGTCCGGAAGCACCAGCCCAGCCTGGGAGGGCCCGAGGGTCCTGGGGAGGTGAGTCACGGGGAAGGACAGGGCTCCCCTGGCACAGGAGAGGAGGCCAGAGTTCCCGCAGGAGAGAAGAATGCTCACCCCCTCACTCATCCTCTCAAAAAATATTTTGCTGGGCCCTCTGTGTGCAAGGCATTGTTCCGCTGTAGCCCCTGGGGGATGTAACAGCAGACAAGATAGAAAAAAATTCCTGCCATCGTGGGGCTTGCACCCCGAGGAAGAAATTAACCAAAATAAGGAAGCAAATGATGATGTTAGAAGGTGCTGAGCGATGTGGAAAAAAGTAAGCATAAGGCTAGGGAGTGCTGTGGAGGGGTCTCTTTTAACTGCAGAAAGCAGAGAAGGCTTCCCTGAGGAAGTGGCCTTCCCTGGGACAGAGTTGGAGGAGGGGAGGGAGAGTGAGCCCCCTGGGGATAGCCAGAGCCTTCCAGGCAGAGGCAAGAGGAAGCTCATGCCAAGGTCCTGAGGCGCGAGCAGGCCCGGAGTGTGTGCACTGAACATGGAGCATGGTGAGGCCAGGGGCCAGGGTGGGCAGATGTAGGAGGGGGAGCCAGAGGGAGCCGGGTGCCTTGCCATTCCTGCAAGGATTTTAGCTTATAAACCTAGTGAGATACAAGAGCCCGGGAGGGGACCCCAGATGCTCCTGACTTGAGCAAGATGACTGTGCCTGTACGGAGAAGAGGTGGTGAAGGATAATGTGCAGGCAGAGGAAGGTTGTCGTGCAGACGGAGGGAACAGCTGGTGGGGGACCGGGCAGAAGGTGTTCAGGCTCTTGAGCAATAGGACGCACATTCAGCACTCACCTGAGGCCTTCAGCCACTCAACACCGACTCCCTGAAGCCTAATGTGTTGCAAGCCATGTGCTGGGTGATGGTGGAGAAACAGAAAGGAGGGAGACAGAGTCTCTGGCTTTAATGGATTTTGATTTCTGGCTCAGCATTTACCTGTTGTGTGGATTTGGACAAGTCACTTAATGTCTCTGTGCCAATTTCCTCTTCTCTAAAATGGGAAGAGAAAACAGGGTTTTCTAGAGAATTAATGGCATATAGTAAGCTACCTAAGTGTTATTTAAATAATAAATAAGCCCTCCAGGCAGCGGGAAGTCCGAGAAAGTTCTTTAGCCAAGCAGGAGGGTGGGGACAGTTTATTTCTCTCCATCTCTTCCTACCCCTTTCCTTCTTGGATGCTGACTCCCTCAGGGGCATCTCCTCACGCCCGCTGGGGTCTCACTGCCTCTGGTCTCTCCCCTGTCTCACAGCGGGTGCGGACGGGCCCCTCTCACTCTCCCAGTCCCTCTCCGTCCCCCAGCCCCACCGACTCCAAGCGCTGCTTCTTCGGGGTGAGCTCTGGGCGTCTGCACATCTCCGACTTCAGCTTCCTCATGGTCCTGGGCAAAGGCAGCTTTGGGAAGGTCGGGTTCCGGGGCCTCTGAGGGCAGGGGAGGGTGTTGGGGGGAAATCAGATGTCTGGTCCTTAGGGAAGAGGTGTGGGGAGTCGGGCACTAAGCTACCGAGTCCCCAAAGAGGGTCTGGTGGGGTCACTGGAGAGGAGAGGCATAAATATTTGGCTTCTTTCCCTGAGACAGAGAGGAAGGGCCTGGAAATTTGTTTGTGTCCTAGAAAGTGGGTGGCAGGCACCTGCCCCATTGGGCTCCAGGACCAACGGTACCTTTTGGGCCTCTGTCTCCAGGTCATGCTGGCCGAGCGCAGGGGCTCTGATGAGCTATACGCCATCAAGATCCTGAAGAAAGACGTGATTGTCCAGGACGATGATGTGGACTGCACCCTGGTGGAGAAGCGTGTGCTGGCATTGGGGGGCCGAGGCCCCGGGGGCCGGCCTCACTTTCTCACTCAGCTACACTCCACCTTCCAGACCCCGGTAAGGACTGGCGGGCAGAGGCGGGCCTGGCATCCGCTCCACGATTCCGAGTTTAGGGCCGTAAAAACCTGGATGTTGCACGGGGCCAGGCCGGTGGGACCCTGGGTGGGCCTGAGCCAGCTTGGTGTGGAGTGGGTGTGTTGCGAGTTAAGGTTCTTTGAGCAAAGAGGAGCATGGAGGGTCGCGCCGTCTGGGCAGGCGTGCCTACAACAGGGCTCCGAGGGCCGAGGCCATCAATCTTGGATTCTGAGTGAAGGATTCATGAGAAGTGGGCTGAGAGTCAGAACCTTCAGGGATTTGAGAGGGTCTGACTACCTCCAAGAGGTCTGAATGGGCTCAGCCGGCTTCCCGGGATTTAAAAACACGATTCTTATACATTGCAATTGGTTCCTAATGGGTGGCAAGAATGCCGGTGTGTGAGTGGGTGTGGAAAGCGGTTTTAGTATCGCTGGGATTTCCAGTGAACTATGGGGTCTTGATCTTCAACTCTGAGGGGTGGGGACCAGCACTCCTGACAGTTTGGAGTAAGGATGGGCGGGGCGAAGTTCTGAAGGGGCGGTGCCAGGGTCTGGGGCGCCTGGGGGCGTGACCAGCCGCTCCGGATTTCTGATTGGGTGGATCCGGGGCTTCCAGCGGTCTCGGGGGCAGGAACGGAGGGTTCCTATCCAAGTGGGCGTGTCCTCGCCTCAGCCCATTCCCCCCCACCCCCCCCTCGCAGGACCGTCTGTATTTTGTGATGGAGTACGTCACCGGGGGCGACTTGATGTACCACATTCAGCAGCTGGGCAAGTTTAAGGAGCCCCATGCAGCGTGAGTCTCTGCCAGGAAGGAGCGAGGGAAGGTGGGAGGGGTAGTGTCCAGCCTTTGACCTTCGGACTCCCCACCCCCTCCTCCAGGTTCTACGCAGCGGAAATAGCCATCGGCCTCTTCTTCCTTCACAATCAAGGCATTATCTACCGGTGAGCGGTCCCAGGCCTTTCAGTGCAGGGAATCGGGCCCTAGCAGGGAAGGGATTGGAACTGAGGGCCCCAGGCTTTGCCGTAATTTCTCCCTGACCACACCCCACCCCAGGGACCTGAAACTGGACAACGTGATGCTGGACGCTGAAGGGCACATCAAAATCACCGACTTCGGCATGTGTAAAGAGCACGTCTTCCCCGGGACCACGACCCGTACCTTCTGTGGGACGCCAGACTACATAGCTCCCGAGGTACCCTGCCTCTGTCGCTCTGGGGACCTCCGGTTCGCGGAGGAGTGGGTGTGTGGCTGGCCGTCTAGAATTCATGATGGGGGGTGCCTGACCTTGGGGTCTTTACTAGGTGCGAGCGTGTGTCCAGCATTCCAGGTGGGTGGAGCTGGGTCTCTTGAATAAGCACAGCTGGTGACGCCTGGGGTGACAGGTGTACAGGAGCGGGGCCAGTGGGGCCAGCACGGAGGGATGCTGTGGGAACAGGGCCTGTTACTTGACTATTCTGAGGTGGACACCATTTCCCCAGTACTCTGACTGGGTAGGGCCCATCCCTGAGAACACTCAGCCTGTTTCCTGAATACTGCAAGTGGCCGAGGGTGCCCTGACTTTGTTAAGGGGCGGAGTTAATGATCTGACTGCACAAGCCGAGAGCGCATCCTGACTCCCCTTAGCTGAAGGAGGAGGTGGTGTTGGCGGCCAGGTCCTTGACCTTTCCAGGTGATTCATTGCTAATGCCAAAGTAACCCGTGTTAGCGGTTTCAAAACGTGGCTGGAAACCAACCAGAATCCCCTGGGGAGTTCTTGAAGACTATACATATTTCTGACTCTGACGCTGGCCTACTGAAGATGGAATTCTTCAGGGCTAGGAACACCTGTGTTTAAACAGCCCCTCTAGAACAATCTGAGATGCATCCAGATTTAAGAATTTCTGGTCTCTGAAATTTAACCCTATGCACTTAGTGTCGTAAGTAGAGGGTCCAATTATCTAAATATCCTAGGTGAGTGGAACTTGTGACTTGGCCCTCTTTATATTTGGGACCAAAGGAATTATTCTAAGTAGGTAAAGTTTGTTTCCTGAATTTTCCAAAGGATAGAACTCTGGTCAAAGTATTCCGAGTGGGAAGAGTTTGTACTGAAAGCATTTGAAGTGGGTAGGGATCCCAGGGGGCAAGGCCGGAGGGGTCCACTTCTTACAGCACAAATCATGATTCTTTGCCTTCCATCTTTCCCACCAGATCATTGCCTACCAGCCCTATGGGAAGTCTGTTGATTGGTGGTCCTTTGGGGTTCTGCTGTATGAGATGCTGGCAGGACAGGTAAGGGAAGTTGGCGAGAGGCTGGTTTCGCTAAAGGCCTCACGGAGGGGGTCTACACAGCCTTTGTCCAGAGAGAGGAGCAGGTTAGGAAGGGAGGTCTACAGGGAGGAGGCATGCTAAGCAGTGTGGGCGCTGCGTTGGGAGATAGCGCTGTCCACGGTCCTGAAGCATTGTCTTCCCACTGGCCAGGCGGTCTCTACTTTTTTCTGGTCCAAGCACCCCATCTCAAAAGAATGTTTTTAAATGCATGAAGTAAAATAATAACATCACAGAAGAAATCAATCATATTGAAATATGGTCATCAAAACTTAAAAGTTTAACCACCTAAAGAAACTTAATTTCAATGTATACAGTTGCCCAAATATTAAACGTTGGGATGTGGGTATACGTGTGATTTCCTATTAGAGGATTAAATAGCAATGTCCCCTAGTAAATAGGAAGGTCTACCAGTAATTCTAAAATAGAAATGACCAATATTTTGAGATATCTTCAACTCTTAATATAATTTTTTTTTAAAGTCTGGTTTCTGTTAGTGATGCAATCGTGAGTGCTACTATTGTGGTTTGTCACCTAATTCATAACTGAATGGAATGCTAAATTTCAGTTAGAGATTTTAAAAAATAAAGATGCCTTTTTCTCCCCATCCAAGTTCATGGGTCCCCTCAATTGTATAAAGAGACTCACTAGACCCCACGTTAAGAATTGTGCCTTGGGATTGCTCCTCCTTATCCCAGGAGTCCGGAGGCCACTCATCAAACCAGGAAAATGCTGTTACAGTTTTCCCAGCAGTTTTCCTCTCCTCTGTTTAAATGACATATTGCCTAATTAACACCCTGCTGATTTACATAGCAGATAAAGAGAGACAGAACAGCAAAGAGGTGCAGAGAGCTGAAGCGTCTGAGCCAGGAAGCAAGAGAGCCCGACAGGGAGGAAGATAAAGCTTTGGTGGTGTGGTCACATTTTCCCCAGGAAGTTGCAGGGGCGAGCTGTGTTCATGGTGGGTGAGGAGGGCGTGGAAGGTGGAGAGCAGCAGCTTGTCCATCTCTGACTCTTTATCCACTCCATTTCCTTAGCCCCCCTTTGATGGAGAGGACGAGGAGGAGCTGTTCCAGGCCATCATGGAACAAACTGTCACCTACCCCAAGTCGCTTTCCCGGGAAGCCGTGGCCATCTGCAAGGGGGTGAGAGCCCCCTGACTCCCAGATTCTCCAGACTCACAACCCATCCAGGGCTGTCCGCGCAGTGTCTCTGGGCACATTAGGAAAAGGCTCTTACTCCCTCAGTCACTTGACTTCCCTATGCTGGAAAAGTTTATATAACACCGAGATTTACTTGGAACGGTAATTGACTGCCTTGCTGCAGCCTCCGGTTCAAGGACAGCCTCTATGCCATCTATGCCATGCTTCACTGCTGCCCCCACTCCCCAGCTCACTGCAGAAAGTGCTGGAAGGCCAGGACCTACCATTCCACAACTGGGTGGGCCAGGTGAACCCAGCTCCTGTCTCTTTGCCCTGTGGGCTCTTCGGCAAATCAGCAAAATTCTGGGGCCCTCTGTCTCCTCTTCTGGGGTTGTGGGGTTAGTGCAGGAGAGAGGGCTGGCCGGGTGCAGGTTTCCCACAGATGTTAGCACTCTTCGGCTCTGGCTCATGTCCCATGCCTCTGACTCTCTCTCTGTGGGTCTGTGTCTCATTCCTCTGCCCCCATCTGCCTGTGACGGGGCTCTCTGTGTCTCCTCTCCGTCCACCTGTGCATGCTGTCCCCCTCCCTCTGTTCCTCTGCTGCACTCTCCCCCCACTGCTGTGCCCCTGCACACCTCGGGCCTCTCTCCTTCTCTTTCTTTGCCTCTCCATCTCCCCCTTTCTCTGATCTCTGCCTTCACATTGGGTCTTTATCCCTCTCTCTGGGCGTGTCTTCTGGGTGTCCGTCCTTCCTTTCTCATCTCTGTACCCCTATTTGCTCTGTCGCCCCCCTTCTCGGGGTCTCTGTCTCCTCCTCTCTCTGGATCTCTATTCCACCTTTTCTCTGGGGCTCCAATCTCCCTCTCCCCCTTCCTTCCCTCTATCCCTCCCTCCCCTTCTGAGAAGCCCTTGTCCCCCTCTCCTCTCTCTGCCTCTCACACCCTGATTTCTCTCTGTGTGTTTCTGGGTCTCTGGGTCTGGATTTCATCTTTCCCATTCTCATGTATGCCTCTCCCCCACAAATCTGTCACCCTTCGCTGTCTTCTGTCTCTGGATCTATCTGTCTGTCTCTGGATCTATCTGTCTGTCTCTGGATCTGTGCTCTCTCTTTTCTTCTGTCCTCGTCCTCCTCTGTTCTGTGGGCCACTCTGTCCCGGACTCTGTCTGTCCTTCCGTCTCTCTGTTTCCCACAGTTCCTAACCAAGCACCCTGCCAAGCGCCTTGGCTCAGGGCCAGATGGGGAACCCGCCATCCGTGCTCACGGCTTTTTCCGTTGGATGGACTGGGAGCGGCTGGAACGACTGGAGATCGCGCCTCCGTTCAGACCCCGCCCGGTTAGCCCCCCTCCGGGATGAGCCCTCGGGCCTGGGGCCTGGGGTAACCAGGCGCCCCAGTCCCTCTCTGTGGACAAGGGTGGGCCCCCTCCGTGGAGACGCCCAGAGATCCCAAAGGGGACAGAGGCTGGTACGGGGGACACAGCAGGACACCTGGGGCCCGCAGAACTTCATCTTCCCCTCCCGGTGTTTCCCACAGTGTGGCCGCAGCGGCGAGAACTTCGACAAGTTCTTCACGCGGGCGGCGCCAGCGCTGACACCCCCGGACCGCCTGGTTCTGGCCAGCATCGACCAGGCGGACTTCCAGGGCTTCACCTACGTAAACCCGGATTTCGTGCACCCGGACGCCCGCAGCCCCATTAGCCCCACGCCCGTGCCCGTCATGTAATCTCACCTGCCGCCACTGGGTGTCCCCACGGCTCCCTCCGCGCGCAGGCCTGGCCCTGATTTCGCCCTGTCCACTCTAGACCTTGCTCGCCAGCGCTCTGGCCCCCCTGTGGGTGCTCGGTGCCCCTCCCAAGCGCTCCTGGCATTCGGAACTCCGTACAGTCTCTAGAGCCTCACCCTGTTCTAGATTCTGCCGTGCTGAGCCCTAGACTCGCACCCACCGCAGGGTTCTGGACTTGGTTCCACCGTGGTCCGGGACCGACTCCCTTCCCGACTCCATGCGGTTCTAGACTCCGTCGTGGTAGAATCTATGCCCCTCCTCCCCCCCGCCCCCTTTCTGGGAAATAGTCTCCTGGGTTGGGCTGTTCCACACTGGGATTCCGGAACACCCTCCCCCTCCGAGGCCCCGCCCACCTCCGCGGCATTCTGGAGTAAGTGGGAGGCTGCGCCCCCACGCTCCAGCGCCCTCGTGTATGCTCGGGACTCCTGGATGTACGGAGGACTCTTATCCCAACTGTTCTCAATCAGCTTTTGTTCTAGACTACCCCATCCTAGACCCGTCACTGCTCGCCTGCCAGGTGCATGGCTCCAGTCCTGCTCGGAAAGACCCCACCCCCCGACCCCCTCCCTGTGCCTGCCACTCTCTGGGACTCTCTCCTCCCCTCCGCGCCCCCACTCCTCTTCGCCGCTCCCACTCGGCCACAGTTGCTGGAGAATAAATTTGGGATGCGGTTGCTAAAGTGTTTGGATGTTTTCTTCTAAGCCTGGAGAATGATGGGATGTGGACGTGGGACAGTGACTGTAAATTGGAAAAACAGACAGGCTGGGAGAGGGGGCGGGCGGAGAGAGAGAAAGCGCAGAGAGCCATAAAGTGAGAAGCTTCCCAGGGCATGAGAGCGAAGGGGCAGAAAGACCCCCACGCAGAGAGAGCCACAGAGAGAACCCAAGCGGCCGCGCGCAGAGGCAGAGGTGCGCCGGTGGGCCACCGGGAGTGCCGGGTGGAGACCCCGCGCGCACACACCCTCCCTGAGCAATGCACGACACAACCACGCGCACACGCGGAGACCCACAGACCGGCGGTCCCGAGGGGCGATGAAGGCAAGCTCCCAACTGAGAGACTCGGTCAGAGGATGAGACCTCACCGCAGAAGAAGCGCAACAGCCAGAACCCGCGACGCAGGCGGAAGGCGGGCAGACGCGCCCTCCGCGCGTCTCCCTTGACCCACTTGCGAGTGGGGGGAGCGGAGATGAAGGTCCCAACAGACTACACGTCCCAGCAGGCACGGCGACGGACCCTTCCCCCCAAGTGCGGCCTCTCGCCCAGGGCTGATGGGAAATGTAGTCCCTGCATGGGAGCAGGCCATCCGGAGGGCGTGCCTGTGTCTGTGTGTTTGGAGGGGACTGAGCTCCAAAGCCTCGCAGTCTTCCTTGGGGAGTCCCAGCGTCTCGTCGTCCCTGCAGGCTCTTGGGTTTCCGGGACTCGGTACAGTTGGATGCTGGGGCTCCCTCTGTGACTCCTAGCACCCCTCCGGTGCCCACGGCCCCCAGCCCCCGCTCCGACCCTCGGCGGGCGGCCTGCCCCTTTAAGAGTGGCCCCGCTGACATCACGGCGGGGGGTGGCTGGCCCGGCTCCCGGCTCCGCGGAGGCTGCAGGACCCAGCTCCGCTCTGCGCCCGCCTGCTGCTCTGGGGACCCCGGCCCGGGACGCCCCCTCCCGCCTCCTCCAGCCGCCCAGATTCCGGGCTTCCCCCCAGGCCTGGCCAGAGCCCCAGGCCTCATCAGGGGACCCCAGGATTGCCCCTGCTGTCTCCCCTTCCCAGGGTCCCTCTCTCTCTGTCTCTGTCTCTGTCTCCATCTCTTTCCCGAGCTCAAGGTCTCTGGGACCCGACATCTCTCACGCCAAGGCCTCTGAGCGTGGGTCTCTTTCTGTCTCCGCCTCTCAGATCTCGAGCCTAGCCAAGAACCTCCGAGCCTGGGCGAAGAGGTCTTAGACCCGATCCCTGTCTCTCCTTTCCCTCTGTCTCTTTTAGGCCATCTCTGTGTCTCTTCCAGTGCCCAGACCTCGAGGCTCAGAATTTCTCAGCCTCGAGGTCTCGGCGTGACCCTAGGTTCCCTGCTCGCCTCCCGGCCTCTCCGCGCGCCCCTGCCCCTCTCCGGCTCTGCCTCTGTTTCTAGCCCCTCTCCCTCCCTGCCTCCCCCATTCCCGGGCCCAGCTCCCTCGCTCCCGCATCCTCCCTGCCGCCCGCCCCTCCCCTCCTCCGCAGCAGCCAATGAGCGGCCGCCGGTCCCAGCTCCCGGCGCTGTCCGCCGTGTGAGGCCGCGGGCGCGGGGGGTGGGGGGTGGGAGGCCGGGAGGGGGCCGGGACGCCGGGCTCCGGGGCGGGGGCGGGGGGCGCGGGCACCGGGGACCCCCGTGGCGGCGGCGGCGGCGGCGGCCAGGGGAAGCCGCGGGGCCGGTCATGCGGCTGCGGGGCCCGCGGCCCGGAGCGTCCGCCCAGCCCTGAGCGAGGTGAGCGCGAGGGGAGGGTCCTGGACGGAGGTGGGGGCTCCCCTTGAGGTGGCTGGGAGCCGAGGCTGGGGCGGCACGGGCCTGCGTGGCTCCGGGGGGCGGGATTCTGGCGGTCCGGGAGCCCGGGTTGGGGAGGAGTTGGGGGTGGAGGGACCTCTGGGCCTAGGGAATCCGTGAGGACGAGGTCCGAGGGTCTCGGAGTGGGGCAGCTGTACTCTCCGCGTCCGAGCCTTGGAGACTGTGGGCACTGGGGAGGTGCCGGCCGAGTCCTTGAGAGAGGCGGTGCTGGATGAGGGGGCAGGGCCCGGGCCCGAAGGAGCAGGACGGGAGCCTGAGAAGGGGTCCCCAGGAAGGGGAGTGCGTCTCCCAGGAGATGGAGTTTGGATTTGGGGCTTGGGGAATGGAACCGCGCGGGTCCGAATGCCTGAACCCAGGAGGGGATGAGAGGCCGAGGGATAAGGAGGCTCCAGGCCTGGGGGAGGGTCCCGCAGGAGGAAGGGCTGGAGGCAAATGAAGAGATCTGGGCGGGCGTCTCGGAGTGAGGAGGAATGGACCCGGCGAGGAGGGCGTTTCAAAGGGGAAGTGGGAACGGGGTCAGTGGGCAAGGTCTCGGCAGGAGTCCGAGGAGTCGGCGGGGGGAGCCGAGGTCAGCCGCCTGGGACCAAAGCAGCCGGGGCGGCAGGGCTTTGGATTTCTGCCTGCGAGCTGGGCGGACTGGAAGAGGAGCCGGCGGTTGGCGGTCAAGCCCTGGAGCGATGGGACGGGGGATGGGAGGAAGAGCGGGTCGGAGCTCTGCCACGCTCCCGTTCCCGGGTCCTCCTGGAGCCTGGGGGCGGGGCGGGGCGGCGGGGGGCGCGCGGTGCTAGGTTGGGGGTGGGGTGGGGGTGAAGGCTGTCTCAGGCTCCGGGATCTTCACCGAGGTGGGGCAGAGTCTCAAGGCTGCAAGAATTCTGGCTGCATCTTTGGGGAGTGTTTGGGGCCTTAACCTTCCTCGTTGTTGAGATGTTGGGGATTGCTGGTATTCAGGGATGTGGGGTCTCTAGTTGAGAGGGGATGGGGACCCCAAGTTGAGTCCCCCAGTCATGGGATTGTGTGGTTGAAAGAAAAGCTCTTGGGGGTGCGGTGGGGGAAAGGCGGTGGATAAGGGATTAGGAGCTCCCTACTTGGAATCTCCAGATTTGGGAGGCTGCAGCTGTGAACTTGGGATCTTGTTTGAGGGGGGATCAGGGTTCCAGGATGGATGTCGAGGGTCTGTAACTGGAAATCCCAGCATGGGAAATTGGCTCCAGAAACTCTGGGAGGGAATTTGGGGATCTTGTACTGGAGGTTGGAGGAGGGGATCCCGGGCTTCCGGGTTGGGTTTTAGAGTTCAGAGCACTGATCCGCACTTGGAAGGAGGGTCACTCATTTGGCTGGAGTGCCCTGGTTACAGTGTTGAGTCTGGGCTGGCAGGTTCCCAGATCATGGTTTTGACATTCTGGTGTCTCCAGCCGAACTCCTGGCTCCAGGTCTCTGGGTCCCAATGTTCTTGCACCCCAGACTGAGCATCCCAGGTTCAGGGGCCTGCCTGGATCTGGGATGGGGGGAATTAGGGTTCCGGGATCTGGGTCATGGGCCATAATCTCAGATCGGGGTGCCAAACTGAGGAACAAGGCACAGGCTCAGAATTAGAAGGTCATGGGTCAAGGTCTTGGTATTAGATTTGGGTGTTAAGGGTCCAGATAAGCATCCAAGGGTTTAAACTTGGTGGGGCCTCCTCTCAAGGTCTTGGGTAGGCCTGAGGTCAAGGGCCTGAGGCCAGAGTATAGGGTTAGGACCGTTGGGCAGTGATCCAGTCGGAATTTCTGGTTGCTAGTCAGAAATACAGTCCAAAAAATAGGGGTCCGGGTGCCAGGTTAGGGCATGGAGTCAGGACTGGGTGGCCTAGATTAGGGTTTCCTGACAGGTCCCATTGGGCAGCATGCAGTAATCGAGGTCCAGTACCCAGGGTCCAGGGGCCTAGGTCCTGACTCGGAGTTGAGGTCACAGGCCCTGTTGGAGTCTAGTAGTCAAGGCTGGGGGGGCTCGGCTCAGGGCACAGAGTCAGGGTCGGGGGGTGCCCAGTGCTAGAGTTGTTGAAGAGTCTGCTTAGTATAACAGTTTCTGAGTCTCAGGCCCCACTAAAGGTTATGGATTCTGGTGGGGTCTGGTGTCTAGGGTTAAGGTCTCAGGTCAGGATACGGGGGCAAGGTTGGAGGGCCTGGTTCTGTTGTGAATCTGGAAACTGAGTTTCAAGTCAGTCGTGAGATTTGGGACTCAGGTTCAGACACAAGGTTAGAGACCAGGTTCAATCTCTGGATCTGGGCCCAAGGTTATGGATGGACATCTTATCCTGGGGTGGGCGTGGGGTCCGCTGGGCCCTCTCCTATCAGGATCCAGAGCCTGAGCAGGAGCGTCAGATTTGGGAAGGCCAATCCTGGAGTTGAGGGTCAACAGCTGTGTCACTGGTTCAAGTCCAGGGATGAGATCATGGGTCAGGATACAGAGCTCAGATCTGAGAGGGAGTGGTTTGGGGGCTGGTATCTCTGGCCCGCGTGCAGCCTCCTCGGGGCTCTCCACGGAGTTTCCCCTCCCTCAGGCCCCGCAGGGCGCCCCCCGCCGCTGAGGATGAGTCACTGCAGCAGCCGCGCCCTGACCCTGCTGAGCAGCGTGTTTGGCGCATGTGGCCTGCTGCTTGTGGGCATCGCGGTCAGCACTGACTACTGGCTGTACATGGAGGAGGGAACCGTGCTGCCGCAGAACCAGACCACGGAGGTCAAGATGGCACTGCACGCCGGCCTCTGGCGGGTCTGCTTCTTCGCAGGTACAGGCCTCACCTGCCTTCCATTTACCTGTTCCTGCCTTGCCTGGGATCCGAGAGCCCTTACCCACAGTCCCCTGTCTTGGGCTCCAGAAATCCAGACACCGGTCCTGTTTCTCTCCTGGAAAAGCACATTTCTACCTGGAGCCCCAGTTTCTAGTCTTTTATCCCTGGATCCTACGCTCCAGTGCTTACACAATCTCCAGGTCCCTAACCCCTGGGAAATCCCAGAGTCCCCTTAGAAGTGACAGCCTCTGTTCAGAACTTGTCCCCTGGACAGTTCCAGTGTTGAACGGGCCGGCCTCCCAGACACCACGGAGACGCCTCCCAGGAATCCTGCACCCTCCCACCTTATCCTCTTTAGGGATCCAGGAGTCCTGGCGCACAGCCCCTCCTCTCATGGCACCCGGCGTGCCAGCCCTCTCCAGGACTCCCTTCCATGAGTCTGGAGCTCCCAGACCTCCTGCTCACCCGCTTCCCAGCCCCGTAAGAGTAGAACAGACCGTAATCCTGGGATTAAGCCTCACATCCCAGGGCCTCCTTCCCGGGCATCCTGCCCCTGATTGCCCCTCTGGAGCTTAGGTGCCTCATCCAGCCTTGCCTTCTTATCTTCCCCAAGGCCGGGAAAAGGGTCGCTGCGTGGCCTCGGAATATTTCCTTGAACCGGAGATCAACCTGGTGACGGAAAACACGGAAAATATTCTGAGTGAGGGGAAGAGGGGGGCTTGGGCAGCAAGGGGGCGGCATCCCAGGGTGGGTCCTGGGAGAAAGGGCAGGAGGAGCAGGGAAAGAGACGAAAGTAGGTAGAGAAGTTGGTAAGGAGGCGGGGCCAGGTGGAGGAGGTGGGACCTGGACGGTGGGTGGGGTCAGTAGGAAAGGGGTGGGGTCAAACCAAAGCGGGTGTGGCCTGGGCGGAGGGGTGGGGCCAGTGGTGAGGAGTCCGCTGACCGCTGAGCCCGGGGAGCGTGAGCTGAGCGTGAGCGAGGGTGGGAGGGAAGAGGTCAGGGGAAGGGGGCGGTGTCCCAGGAGAGCCCTCCTCACCGCCGCCCCTCCCCTTCCCCCAGAGACAGTGCGCACAGCCACCCCGTTCCCCATGGTCAGCCTCTTCCTCGTGTTCACCGCCTTCGTCATCAGCAACATCGGCCACATCCGCCCACAGAGGACCATTCTGGCTTTCGTTTCTGGCATCTTCTTCATCCTATCCGGTGAGCCCGGGGGTACCGGTTTCGGTTCCAGGAGCCTGTGGTGCCTTTTCCACAAAGAAAAAAACCCCACTTCCTTGCCGTGTAGTCGTGGAGGAGATGCCGACCCTGCCCGAGCCCCACCCCTTCTCCGTGGAGTGGAGATAGTGTGCGTTTCAGGACTGTTTAGGGGACCAAATCATAGGAATGCTTACTGGATGCTAATTGGGTACCAGGCTCCGTTCTGATACAGCCACCTGGGAGGTAGATGCTATTAATAACCCCATTTTGCAGATCTGGAAACAAACACTCAGAGAGATGAAGTCACTTCCTCGGGCCGTACAACCAGTGAGACACCGAGCCAGGACTCAAATTCAGGCAGTTCGCCCCCAGGGGCTGTATTTTTAACCACTCCTGATATTTTAGCAATTAACAGATTACAAAGCTCTTTAGTTTTCTGTGCAACATTTTGTTTGAAAAATTTTCGGGCAAACAGAAAAGTGGAGAGGATTTGGGCGTGAGCACCCGTGTGCCCACCACTCACAGTCAGCCATTAACTTAGGGCTCGACTTGCTTTTTCACGCATCCGCCCGTCTACCTGTATTTCTACCCATCCATCAATCACCATCTTTTTTTTTTTAATGCATTTCAAAGTGAGTTGCAGGCTTCAGTCCACTTCACCCTGAATACTTCACGTGTGTCATTAGCTAGAGTCCGATATTTGCTTATAGTTTTTTTTCTTTTCTGTGATATGAGGCTCTTTGGCAGGAGTGATCTTGGACCCTTCACATAACATCTCTGCCCAGGTGTTAATATTAGCACTCGCTTGAGAACATGGGGGGAGGGCTACTGAGGCCCAAAACCGTGCAGGGAGTCACCCAAGGTACCAGCTTAATGTGGTGCCTAGAGACTTGCGTTCCAGAGTAGGGTTCTTTCTGAAGTGTTACCCTACTCCAAATTTCAGCTTAGTCCGGTTCAATTCAATCCACGTCAGCTCAGGGCAGCCCAGACGAACCCAGCTCTAACCTATTTAACTACATTTACCTGGTTCAACGAACCCCAATCCTTTCTGGCTCAATTCTTCAATTCATTCTGAGTTAAATCAACATAATTTAATTAAAGGCCATCCGGGTCCCTTTAATTCAGTTGCTATTTGGTGAGCAAACCCCGCTGTGTGTCTCATCTCCATTCTGTTCCCCGGGGCCCACACTGCTTGGCCCCTGCTTTTGACCTGCCTCTGCAAATAGACGGTGGGTATTGAATAGCCTCCCCCCGCCATCCTTCCCTCTGTCTCCTCCCCGACCCTCACCCAGCTTCCTCTAGGCTAAACCTCCCCTGTGCCTCTAGCCTGATGAGACCAGGGTGCAACTTCCATGCGAATCTGAATCACAGAATGTGGAGCCAGACACCGAGCTAAAATAAGACACGTAGAATATCACCATCCCGGAGTGTCAGAGCAGAAAGGTCTCATCATTTTTCATCATGGAGAAATGGTGGCCTAGAGAAAGAAAGGGGGGAAAGGGTAGGTAGCATGGAGACTTTTGTTCAACCCATCCAAACATTAGAAGGAAAACCCTACTGTTTGCAGTATATGGAAGCGGAAACAGAAGGCAACGTAGCCAGTCAGGGGCAGAGCTGGATCAGCCTCGAGGGTGTTCTCATCTCAAAACCCATGCCCATGCCATGCACCGGGACCCACTTCCTAAGGGTCAGTGGTGCCATCAGGGCTGGAAGGCAGTGTTCTGCATAACCGTAGAATAATTTGGGGGATTGAACTCCACTTCCTGAACTCCTTCCTCTAGTTCCTTTTCACAGACTACAGCCCATACACTCCACCCAGGTTATCCGGTCGTGTGCTTTCAACATTGTGGGGTGTAGTGGTTGAAGGCTATTGTGGCCCTGGACAGGCCTAGGTTCAAATCCAACGCTTCGGTGTGGGCTGCAGCCTTCCTTTGAGGAGTTGTCGAGAGGAGGCCAAATCGTGGTCGTGAGTCGGCAAACCTTTTCTGCTGAAGGCCAGGTAGTAAATATTTCAGGTTTTGTGAGCCATAGGTTTGTAGTGTCAAAGCAGCCAGAGGTGAAGCATGGGGTGTAGCTATGTTCCAATAATACTATTTATGGACACTGAAATTGGAATGCAATGTAATTTTCATGAATCACGAAATAGACTTCTTCTCTCCCCCACCTTCCAACATGTAAAAATGTAAAAACCATGTTTAGCTTGAAAACCACATGAAAAAGAGTGGTACAAACGTAGTTTGCTGACCCCTGGTCTAGATCATGGGTGGGAAGGGCTGACCCAGTGCCTGGTCTTTAACAGTAAGTACTTAACACGTGGTAGTTTTAATACATACATACGTACATACATACACACATAATCCACACATCACACATACGTATGTACATACATACATACGTACATATATTGTCCATACCTAGTACTAGTATGAACAACCATAATAAACACTTTATCAAGTGCCATGGGCTTGGGGAAGTTCTAAGTGCTTTATGCAAATTAAGTTCATTCTTTTGCTTTACCTTGTAAGGCAGATGCCATTATCATCTCCATTTTCCAGTTGAGAAAAGAGAAGCCCTCAGAGGTTAAGTTGCTGCATAGCCGAAGCGGGTGCCCACCCAGAAGTCCACCGTGGCACTATACTGCCCCACCACAATTCAAAATCATAAAAACAAAGGAGAGGAAAGGATGGAAACAGTATCCATGTCTTAGATCTCAGAACAGAAAATCTGCTCCACTGTCTCACGTTCCCACTGAGGAGACCAAGAGTTAGAGAGAGACAGAAGTTGTCAGAGGTTGGATAGATGGTGGAGCTGGCATTTGTTCTGGAGAAAGTGGTGGAAGGATTAGGGCAGGGGAGGGACAGGGTCACACCTGGGTGTTAAACATCACTCAGGGGCCTGCGCTGGGGAGAGACTAGAGGGAAAGAGACTGGAAATGGGCAGCTGAGGAGGTGGTGGCTATTCAGTGGTCCAGGCAACAGCAGATAAAATTTGGGCAGGGCCTGGGGCTGGGAGCATACAGATGACTGGTTGGCTTTGAGAGAGAAGAATATTGACAGAAGAATCGGTAGAGCTGGTGACTGACTGGATAGGGTTGGAGAGAGAAGGGGGACGCTGGGATGACATTGAATATCCTTTTCCAGGTCATAGGAGGCATGCTTCCCATGCACGGCTTATGTTAACCCCTGATCCTCAAATATATCCCATGTGTCTGCTCACGCATCCACTCATGAAACATTTACAGAGACATGCTGCATGCCGGGGGTCCTGGAGATGTGGCTGAATGCTAAGTGAGAGTCAGTCACAGACAGCCCCCAACTACACATCAGTCAGCTTGTCACATGCCTGCCAAAACCCCTTCGGTGCTTCAGTGACTCCCATCGCGCTTAGAATACATCCAAACTCTCCACGCTGGCCTATAAGGTCTTCCAAGATTTGGGTACTGCTCGGATCTCTGACCTTCTTTCCTAACCCACTAACACACCATTGCTTGTAATCTCAGCCACACTGCTCCTTCTGGTCCTTGAAAATGCTAATCTCGGCCCCCCTTGAGGACTTTTACACTCCTTAGCCCTTCCGGCTAAGGAGTCTCTTCCACCTGATTCTTAAAAGGCTTGAATTTTCCCTCGACAGAGTGTCTCTCTGACAATGGTATGTAAAGCCACTGTGCCCCTGCTATACTATACCACATTGCATGTTTTGTATGTTTCAACAGCACTTTGTGTTAAGACCCTAGAAAGCATCCACGATGCATTCATATGCAGCTCTCCGTGGTCCTGAAATCGTACTGTCCTAATTCAGCTGGGAGTGCAGGTGATTCTTGCCTACTGAGCTCTAAGAATTCTGAAGCAGATGTCGTTGGGAAGGGAGAGTTGGATTACCAGAGAAAGGAAGAGAGAAGGAAAAAAAGGGGGGGAGGGAAAGATTATTTTTGGAGAACCAGAGCCACTATAAAATGGTCAGGAAGGAGAAAGAATGACAAGAACGACTTAGCTTTGCCATTGTTTTTAGATAATTTGTAGTTACTAAAAACAAAAACAACAGTGAGAAAACAGCACAAAACTCTTTCTCTTTGGAAATATTTGTTTGCTTCTCATCAACCCCAACTCCTGACTCTCCTTGCAGAGAACGTGTGCTACTTAGAATTGTTATGTGAAACGTGGGACACGAAGTGAAACAGGAGTGGTTAGCAGGAATCAGATCATAAAGAGGCTGGCACTTCAGGCTGAAGAATGAATACCTCCTGGGTTTAGTAGGAAGTCAAAGAATTTTGACAAGAGAAGATAGAGTCTAGTATGGGTTTTAGAAAGAATCAGCACCTACAGCAGGAAGATAAGGACTCAGGGGCAAGGGTACAGTCATAGAGAAGCCTAGCTGCATCAGAGGACTTGGAGATACAAAACAGGGTTCATATGTCTGAGAAATTTGGGAAGTAAAGTGGACAGGCCTTGATGACTGACGATCCTTGGTGGATGAGAGAGAAGGAGAATCCGGGTGGCTCCCCTGTGATTGACCAGGGCACTCCAGTGAGTGTGGTTCCTGGGCTGCTTTTGGTATTCCCTTTTGGTAAACCTGTTCATCTTTTGAGACCTAGCTTGGATGCCTTTCCACCATGTAACATTTTGCACTAACCTGGATTGAATCCTGGTTCTGGGGGAAAAGCTATAAAAGGCATTCTTGAAACAACTGGGACAGTTTGCAAATGGAATAATTTATATTATGGATTTCTTGTAACATTTCTAGGTGTGATAATGAAGCTGTAGTTATGTAGAAGAATTCCCTTCCTCTTCAGAGATGCATAGTGAAGTGTTGGGAAATGAATAGAGATTCCTGCAACTTACTTTCAAATGGCAAAGCCAACAAGTTGTGTGTGTGTGTGTGTGTGTGTGTGTGTGTGTGTGTGTGTGTGTGTGTACAAAGAGACAGGAAGAGAGCTTCTTGGATGCCAAAACTATGGGATACTAGACATTGAACATGCTTTGGAAGTTAAGAGCAAGGAAAGGTTG